TTTAACCAAAAATAACAACATAAATTATAGATATATATTTTAATGATAAATGATATATTTTCGGTGCATTGCGTCTTCTTTTATTTAAATATGTCATGTTCTGTGAAGAAAACTACATGCTGATGCATTGCATGTTCTTCGTAATATGACATATTTTCGAAAGAAACTAACCAGAAAAAGATAACTATTCTCCGAAAGAACTATTCATCGCACCCACATTAAATGTCCACCGTTGAATAGAAACTAATAATTGTCCGCCGAAAACATACTTATGTCAATTAAGTCCCTATCAATAGGCTTCATACATTAATGACATCGTTGAATTGTCACTAATGTTTGGTCCCTATGGTTCCAAATCGCTGAATTGAAACTAATGTTTAGCGATCTTAGTAATATATTATGTCTTATTTTTAGTATAACATATTTCCTAAAATAAAGTAATTATATAATTGAAAGTAATTATTGTCTGCCGAAAAGAAACTAAATGCCGAATCATACATGTTTCCAAATAGAAATAATTGTCGAAAGAAATAATTTGCACCCGTCGCTTGGTGCGGGTAAACGGCTAGTATATATATATATATATATATATATATATATATATATATATATATATATATATATATATATATATATATACTAGCAGCGTACCCGCGCAAAGCGGCGGGGCATGTAAATTCTTTCGGTGATATGTTTCCTCTACAAAAATGTTATGTTACAAATGAAAGTACATGTCGAAGACAAAATAATCAAACTATGGTGTTATTTGGGAGATGAAGTCATTTTTTGTTCCTAGACGGTGGGCTTTATAGCAGAAAAGGGAACAAAGAGGTATATGCGATTGGAGAGATATTTGAATCAACATGTTAAATTTAAGGATATCTAAAATGGTTCAAAATTTGAATGAATCCGGGATTTGAGGAAACCATATCAAATTGTTGAGAAATATAAGGAGATTTGATGATAATTATTTAAATTCAAAATGTGGTTAAAATTTAATATTATTTTATTAATGGTTACTTGTACTATCAGCTTCATCATTTGGACGTCTTAAAAAAATATTATTATTATAATCAATCTATTTTTAGAAATAGTTAGATTTCTTTTATAAGATAGTAAAGATATATATATATATATATATATATATATATATATATATATATATATATAAAGAGAGAGAGAGATAGATAGATAAAGAGAGAAAGAGAGAAAGAGGACTATATATTTTTTAAATAAAAGAAATAAATCAAAAAGATATTCATAAGGGTATTATAGTTTTTTTTTTAATGAATGATAAGGACGAAAACACAACAAAAATAAATTCTCGGGATGGTTTGAATGCAAAAAAAACGTTAGGGATAAAACGTGAAATTTTACCAAACCATAAGAACGATTTCAATAATTTATTTATTTTCATTTTATGCTTAAATTATGTTTTGTATGTAACCTAAAATGATCATTCTATTTATAGGAATATTACATACTTGGTGTAACCATGGACATACTTCTAATATTGGTTTAAGATACTTGTTGTGATCATGAAAATATTGTAATGTGAACGTTCTAATTTGATTGCAAATTAATGTAATTGTTTAATATCTTATAAAATATCAATAATTACATTGGTTTTCAAAATTTGTATATAAATTATTTGGAGGATAAAGACCAAAAAGAGGTTGAATGGAAAGGTGTAACACATATTTATTTCACTTGCTCACATGTATAAATAATAAAATTTAAGGTTAATGATTTAAAGAAGTAACTATTTATATTAACTAACAATATTTTTTTTATATACATTTTACCATTGAATTTATTAAACTTTACATAATATTTAAATATAATAATTGCAATAAATATAATAATAAATGCATATCAATTTCAATAATTGATTTTCCTTCTAATTTTAAAATTTCTAAATTAAAACTTCGTTAGTTTCATTTGTTTATTTATATAAATTATTTGTTTAAATTAAAAAAAAAACACGTTAATTTTATTAATTTAATATTTTTTAAATTTTCTTATAAATTCATAAATTTTAAAATGTTTAGAATTTATATATATATATATATATATATATATATATATATATATATATATATATATATATATTTATATATATATATGGGGGATAGTTCAAATAAAAACAATAAATAGTGTGAGAACGTAAAAATACTATTTTTATATTCTTATTCGGCAATGAATTTTGTATCCATAACTTTATGTCATTATTCAACAATGAATAAATGAATAGTCACAAGTTAAAACTAAAATTAGAATTTACTACAAAAATGCACATACATAAATTTATAATAGAAGAATAATATTTTAATGAATATATGAATAATCAAATGTCAATATTCATTTTAGAATTGCTTCAACAATATACATATACAACATTCATTACAGAATAACAACTTAAACATAGTGTTTTTATGTTCTCACACTATTTACTGTTTTTATTGAACTTATATATATATATATATATATATATATATATATATATATATATATATATATATATATATATATATATAAGGATAATGACTTAGGAGGGTAATTAGGTTTTCTAGTTTGTCCGTATTAGGTCACTAAGGCTTTTTTGTGCGTATTAGACCAATATGGTTGTTATTAACGTTTAGAAATAGTCTTTTTTACCGGTTTAATCCTGTAAAAAGTATTATTTCTAACAGTAATAACAACCATATTTTTCTAATATGCACAAAAAAAACCTTAGTGATCTAATACCGACAAACTAGAAACCTAATTACCCTCCTAAGTTATTAACCCTAATTTTAAAGACATCATTATCATTATATACTTACAAAAGAAGCATTTTTCCTTTCACGACATTCATTTGAAACTCTCATTCTTATTTCCTTTCACCACATTTGTTTGAAACTCCCATGACTTTTCAATTTCTTTCCAATAATAATGATAATTTGTAAATTAGGTTCAATAAATATCAAACATAAAATGTAATCATATATAAACTAAATTTCAATATTAAAATAATATCTTTACTTATACTTATAAAATTATGTTTTTTAGCTTTTAACATATTATACTTAATTTATTAATTTTAATAAATTGTTGAATGTAAACCATTATCATTTTATAATTTTGGAACAATTTATATAAAATACTGCAATTATTAATTTAAATATAACATTACAATGTCAACTTAAATATAAATTTTATTTTAACTTAAACAACCCAAAGAATATTTTATAAATAGTTAAAATTGATAAATTATGGTATCTTTCTAATAATGATTATAAATTGGTTAATAAGGTTAAATAAATATCAAACCTAAAGTGCAATCATAAATAGACTAAATTTAAATTTTAAATTAATATCTTTACTTCTATTTATAAAGTTATGTCTTTAAACTTTAACATATTATGCTTAATTAAATAGATTTAAAATGTTGTTGTTTGTAAACCATTATCAGTTTAATGCTACAACTTTTGAATAGTTTGGACAAAATACTTCAAATTTTAATTTAAATATAACATTAAGTGTCAACTTAAATATAAATTTCTGTTCCACTAAAAAACCAAAGAACATTTTGTAAATAGTTAAAAGTGATAAAGTATAGTGATCAATGCAAAAACTAAATTATAATATCATTTAAACAAAAATATTTCCTAAAGATATTTTTATAATCATTAAAAATTTTCAAATAAGTAGCTTAAAATAACTTACAATAATAATAGTTAAAAATAACTCTATATAAATTATTGTATTGTTACCTTTAAAATCAAAAAATAATGTTTGATGTTTTAAATAATTATAATGATAGAAATTAAAAAGTTAAGTAAATAAATTTTAAAAATTAATTAACAATAACAACAACTATAAATAACATTAAACCATATATAATATTTAATTTTATTGATGTGTAACTCACGGATAGAAGTCATTCAAACGATTGAGATTATGAAGTTGTAACAGATGTATATATTATCATATAATTCAAAATAATCAATATATTATATCAATTTAGTATGCGAATTATTATATTAAATTTAACAACGTTATTGTTATATTAAAAAAAAACATATATTTGTAAAGACTTCAACTATATAGGTGTTTCTGCGTATTACAATGTCAACTCAAATATAAATTTTAGTTCCATTTAAAAAACCAAAGAATATTTTGTAAATAGTTAAAAGTGATAAATTGTAGTGATAAATGCAAAATATAAATTTTAATCTCAAATTACCTAAAGTATTTCCTAAAGATATTTTTATAATCATTAGAAGTTTCGAAATAAGTAGTTTAAAATAACTTACAATGACAATAGTTAAAAATAACTCTATACAAATGATTATATTTTTAGCTTTAAAATAAAAAAACAATGTTTGATATTTTAAATAATTATAATGATAGAAATTAAAACATTAAGCGAATAAATTTTAAAAATTTATTAACAATAACAATAACTATAAATAACATTAAATCATATATTATATTTAATTTTATTTTATTTGTGTGTAACTCGCAGGTAGAAGTCATTCAACCGATTGAGATTATGAAATTATAATAGATGTATATATTATTATATAATTCAAAATAGTCAATATATTATATCAATTTAGTATACAAATTATTATATCAAATTTAACAACGTTATTTTTCAATATTAAAAAAACATATATTTGCAAACAATTTAACTGTATAGGTTTTTCTGCGCAACGCGCGGGCATTCGCCTAGTTGAGAATATATGACGACGCGAGTTCTAAATGAACTAGTTCACCGTTTAGAAAGTCATTTTTACCGGTTAAACAGGAAGAAACCAGTAAAAAGGATTATTTCTAAACGGTAATAACAAACATATTGATCTAATACGTAAAAAAAAAAAAAAAAAATATTAATGAGCTAATACCAACAAACTGAAAACCTAATTACCTTGCTAAATCACTATCCCATATATTTTTAAATGAAGGGTGTGAAAAGAATATTTATGCTAACTTTTATTAAAAAAAACTGAAATCGGCTTCATAACTCATAAACCCCTTCTGCTGCTTCAAAGCAAGAAACCCAATTTCAAGTTCCAATCTTCAACCACTCCACTCGACAAAGGAGCGATCTTTCTTCAAATCCCATCTCAGGAAGTTGTTTCCAGCACTCCCAAATCAAAACCCCAAATTATAAAAAAAATGACTTCATCAGAGATCGAAATTGTATCAGACTCTGCAAAAGAAACCAAAAACAACACCGCAGCAGGGCAAATTCCGGCAGAAGTGGTGATCATTGACGTCTTTGGCGCTTGTGCTTACGGCGATCTGCCGAAACTGCGAAAATTCGTCGAAGAAGATGGCGTTTCTCTCTCTCAACCTGATGGTAATGGCTATTACCCCCTTCAATGGGCGTCCCTCAATAACTTCGCCGATGTTGCTCAGTACATTATCGAGGTATGCTTTGATGGGTTATAGATCCATTCTCACATATGGGCTACTAACTGATTGTCAATTCAAAGAAATTGTTGGAATCCACCATTATACTCCTTTTTGTTGGCGATGTAGCATGGTGGGGATGTGCAGGCGGTTGACGGTGTGATGCAGACGGCGTTGCATTGGGCGGCTGTTCGTGGTTCAGTTGCAGCAGCAGATGTGTTGTTGCAGAATGGTGCTCGTGTCGAAGCTACTGATGTAAATGGTTATCGGGTAAACAAAACGAATTTTAACCATGTTTACTACATTCTATAATGTTTGATTTCTTCTTTTTGGGGAAAATATCGTTCTTCAAATTTGAATTCACTGCAACTGCAGGCAGTTCATGTTGCAGCTCAATATGGGCAAACATCGTTCTTGAATTACATAGTGGCTAAATTTCATGCTGATTTTGATGTACCAGATAATGATGGAAGGACTCCTCTTCATTGGTATGTTAAAAGATTTATTTTTTTAATTTTATTATTATTATTATTTTATCTTTCGTTTTGTGCATGAAAACTTGGATTTTAAACTACTCATGGAAAAATATCAGGGCTGCTTATAAAGGATTTGCAGATACAATCAGATTACTTCTTTTTTGGGATGCCTTCCAAGGAAAGCAAGATAAAGAAGGTATTTATCTTTAACCATCCTTAGACAAATGCAAACTAAAACTTTGGTGATCAATATAACTATTTGTCTTGTTTTTGGAAATTTCTTGATTTCTGTTGAATGAGCAAGTTACGTAGTCTTTTAATTCGGTTAAAACTTTAGAAAAATAGGTCATTTTTGTGAAAGAAGAATAAAATTTTTCTTCATTGTACTTCTTGTGTCATGGAAGAATTGATATGTTAGATCTAGTGCTCGTATTAGTATCGAGGTGTGGCCATCATGCCCTTGATTATTCAAATTGAAGCGAGTTTTATGGATACATATTTATCAAACCACTTAAGTAATGGTGAGAACAGGGACTACATAATACAACTTGAAAAGTTATTTCCTAAAAAGGAAGTGTTGTAATTCTTGTTGGACATACCGACTAAGGCCATCTCAACTAGCTTACTATTACCTAACAATTTCAAATAACGGAATCGATCAAAAGATTATGGTACTGAATTTTATATATTCACTAAAATCAAATGAACAAAAATAACCGAATGCTTGTTAGTGATTCGATAGCCTAGCCTCTACCTAAGAGTAATTTTATATATTCATTTCCTGATGAATTCCCAACAATCTGCCATGCATCCACTTTAATCATGCACTTAGGATGAGGGTAATACGAAAACTGATGATTGTGAAATGATGTAGCAAAATAAAAGGAATAATGTAGAGAACATAAAAAAAAAAAAAAGCAAATTATATAAACTAGGTAGATGGAGATAAAATGAAAGATGAATTGTAACGGGAGATATAAATAAAAATGATGAAGTTCACTAAATGATTTACTCAGTCAATTCCTAATGGTACCCCATCTCTCTAAGCATAATGCTCTACGAATCCTAACAAAAATCTTCACACCCCTAACAAAATTATTACCCTGACTCTAGATACTTTCCAATATCACTTTTTTAGACTGAACATGTAACAATTTTGATTTATCTTCTTTTATAACCGGTACACTAGCATTCATATCATTACTCTCGTCTTTAAAAAGAGTCTTATCCTCAAGACTTACTTCAAGAGACAACTCATGATTTTTGACGAGTCTTCCGATGAGACTTTGCCTGGATTTTAGTCAAACAATGCAATTGTACCAAAATCCCTTGATGCAAAAAACGCATCCACTCGTTGTTCCCGTTATGAATAACTATTCCTACTGTTCTTAACTTAATATTCTACTATCTTATTCTCTTCGAGTTTATCATATACTTACAAGTATGTATGTGTTATATCCACTCGATATGGCAAGGTGTGTTAGCGCAAAAAGAAAGGGATAAACAAGGAGTAATTCTGATAAGTATTAGCATGCTATTAGGAATTTGAGTTTTTTATTATTTATCTTATTTTTAATTTCCAGTAATTATCTTGGAGTCAGTTAGGTATTTGTGTTTGAGTCTAAGTCCTTGTACATACCTATATATAGGTCTCGTGAATAAAGCATGCTTGAAGTTTATTAATTTTTAGTCTAGTTTTCTCAGCCTAATCATATTTACCTTAGCACCTTGAAAAGGAGTCTGGGCTACACAGAGCTCAGAAAATGCTCACGAGTCCTATTAGCGACTTCACGAGGCCTAACGTCCAAGACATAACAGTATGGTTGTATGTAATATGTATTATTTGCACTAAAACTTGTGCGTTTCCCACATAATCGGATCTTATAATTATAAAGATCTCATTTAATAATCCATGTCCTTAACTTGTCCCTTACACATGACATGTAAATCTTGCCATGTTGTTAAATTCCTTAACATATTGTAAGAAAATAATGAGGTACAACAAAAAATCAATTTCACAATAGTTGACATGAATTGATTGATTCACGAAATATAAAAGCTACATGGCACCATATCTGTAAAGACTGCTATTAGAGGAGACAAAAATCACAAAATGGACCGAGTTAGATAAGTTAAAATGTCATTAGACCATTTATGTTTCCTTCCTTTAAAAAGCAACAAGGACTGAATATATATATATATATATATATATATATATATGTATATTTTTTGTTAGGTTGTACCCCTTTGCATTGGGCAGCATTGAGAGGAAATTTGGAGGCATGTGTTGTACTTCTACATTCAGGGACAAAACAGGAATTAAGGGTGAAAGATAGTGCTGGATTCACACCTGCACAAATTGCTGCAGATAGAGGCCATCGCCATGTTTCTTTGATCCTTGTATGCATCTTTTTTCTGATAATTATTTTTTAGTATAATTTTTTTTCTTTTACCATTTATGAATTTTTATGAAATTTATGCAGTCTAATGCACTTCGTGCACAAAACAGTTGTTGGAAAGACAAACCTTGGATTAAAAAAATCGGGGATATAGGCTACGCCCCTATTTTGTTCTGTTTAGTATTTGTCAGCACATTAATCTTCATCAATTCCATTCTTTTTGGTGGGTATTAGTAAATAATAATTTATATTATTATTTAATCATCTTAAAAAGGATTTAGTTTACTAAATTACTAATCAAGATCTTCTTCTCCTTTTCATCTATTTTAGCTTCTAATCTTGTAAAGGTCACTGCTGTTGTTGGGCTTTGGGGATGGACAGCTGTTTCCCTTTCAATTGCCTCTTTATTGATGTTTATCCGTTGTAGCAGGTGTATATTTTTTATTTTTTGAAATATTTCAAGAAATATAATAAATTTAATATTGTGTTGGTTTAATGTTGACTATTTTTTGTTCATAACTTTTTCAGTAAAGATCCTGGTTATGTGAATATGTCGGGAGGGATAAAGAATAATGCTGATGCCGAGGTATGTTTTCTTTCTGATTCATTGTTAAATGACCATTTTACCCTCTGTCAAGAATTAGTGCTAAATAAAAATAATACATTCTTGGTATGAAACTACAAATAAATACGAAACTGAATAAAACTAGTAAATTTCAGAATCAGGTGATTTAGCTGCAATGAGGGTAAATGACCATTTTACCCTCACTTAAGAACTAGTGATAAATAAAAAAATTGACTGTTTTATAATTCTTCTTTCGACTTAATACAGGGTCATTTGTTGACCATTGATTTGACTAACACTGCTTATTGGAGTGGAAATTGGTCTCAGTTATGTCCTACTTGCAAGGTTTGTTAAAAAGACTTTCGTTAATTTCTTTATATATATATATATATATATATATATATATATATATATATATATATATATATATATATATATATATATTTAAAATCACACCTCAAATATATTATTACTAAATTCTTCTTTTATCTAAGATAATAAGACCTGTTCGCTCCAAACATTGTCCTGCATGCAAACGTTGTGTGGAACAATTTGACCATCATTGCCCCTGGATCTCAAATTGTGTTGGAAAGGTATTTTTTTTTTAATTTTTAATTTTTTGTATTTAAACCTTTTTAATTCAATTGCAATTGCTTTTCTTTTTTGTGCAGAAGAATAAATGGGACTTTTTTGTGTTTCTACTTTTGGGAACTCTGACTTCAGTGATAAGTGCAGTGGTTGCCCTTCATAGTATGTCCAAATTCTAAACCAATAACTCTCTGCCACCTGTCTTTTTTTTATTTTTTTATTTTTTTTATTTATATTAAATATCTTTACCCCATAAAATGACAGGAATGTGGACATCAATACCTCCATTACAAAACAATGAATCTTGGATTCATCATGTCATTTTTAAACAACCTGGTGCTGCCACCTTTCTTTTTATTGATTTCTTTATCTTAATTGCTGCTGGAACTTTGATCATCATACAAGCCTACCAGGTAATATTCCTATTATACCCTCGAGTAAAAAAACCAAATTGTGAGATTCTGTTAAAGGGTATTGTAGTCAATACACTTTGTAACATTGGGTCAATGTTAAAAAAACGGTTTTCAAGAGAAAGCATGGAGCTTTTTATAATCTTGGAACATTGAAGGTATGTTATCTGAATGCAGATTAGTCGAAACATAACAACAAATGAATCTATGAATGCTACAAGATATGGTTATCTTCAGGGAACAGATGGGCGTTTTCGGAATCCATATAATCATGGATTTGTGAAGAATTGTTCGGATTTTTTAATTCGAGGCTACACAGATGATGATGAGATAACTTGGCCTCCTTTGCAACAAGTTTCAAGATAGTTGACATCATATATATAACATACAGTTATACCTTAATTTTCCCCTTTTGTAGAAAACATTAGATCTTGGATTTTGTTACAACACATGAGTGTAGAATATACAAGGATTTGTGTACACTTTTTTTTTTTTTTTTTTTTTTTTTTTTTTTTTTTGTGTGTGTGTGTGAATTATTGTTATTGGTGTGTAAAAATGAAATTGTAATTTTGTTAACCGAATAGATCACTTGTCACTTAACAATAAATTTGGTAACTACACTGTTAAAAATTGTAATGCTATAACATGTAAGGTTACATACATTGTCTATATTGGTAAAAAAAACAAAACATGCTAATTTCTTTTTGCAATTTGTGATTGTATATTTGAGATCAGATGGCAAATGGTTTATGACAAGAACCTCAAACATTTCTTAATAATTCTTTGTAGTGTAATAAATTATCATTTTTTATATGTTTAGTTATTATTTTTGTGTATATGATTTATCATGCTCACTCGAGTTGTTTAAAAACCTATCATTTTGACAGAGTATTGTATGTTAATTGTTTTTTTATATGATTTATCATTTTTTTGTACACGGTTTACCATTAAACTGTCACATTCATATTCTCCGGCCAATACTATCCACTTCCATTGCACCATCCACCTCCAACAACAAACACCATAACCACCTATATCTGTTGTTCACCACCATCACCACCAAGAAACTAATCTAAAGTCAACTTCAACTTGTAGGAAAATTAATTCAAACTCACATTCAAACTTAAAAATCGATTTAAACCTCTAACCAGTTAGAACTCAGATTGCAATGTAAAATTGCATCCTTGAGCGGATGTGTTCGGCGGAAGGGCACGATTAAAGAAGAAAGACAGAGGGGGATATGGTGTAGGGTGGGTTTCATAAAGAAATAAGAGGGAAAGGAGCAGCGAAAGGTGCGATCGGCGGCAGGAGGGATGACAGTAGTAGTAAGGGGTGTGGGGGCGTTTTCACCAAAGAGTACAATGAAGAGACTTCGTGCTTTGCAATGTTTAAAAAAACAAACATGTAAAATGGTGTTTTCTTTCATTTGTAGATTTGTGTTTGCCAGAAAAATTGATCGGAAAATTGATAATGGTTAGAAAGATAAAGGTTACTGCAAGTGTATATAGTTTAATGCTAAACCGTGAATAAAAATGTAAGTTTAATTGTGTTTCTTGAACAAAAAATATAAATTTAATGATGTTTCTTGAACATGTAAACCGACCATGGTTTTGTAAAAATATATCCATATGAGAGTGACCTAGGTTCGATTCCCGTTAGGTTTCATTATCTGTATGTGGGCAAAGGGCTTGAATATGGGAAAAAGGGCTCGGATGTTGCTTCATCTGTGTCGATGGAGTAATCATAAAAGAACCCGACCAAACTTGCAATAGCCGGACAAAATGGTATATTTTGAACAACAAATGTAAATTTAGCAATAATTCATGTACATTAAAATCTAAAGTAAATGACCACTTTAAATGTTGATATGAAATTATTAAAAGAAAAATGATTATTTAACTAAATGATTATATAACTACCTAAATAATAATCATTTGGTAAAACATATAATGCAAATATATGTGGAGCCTCGTATTAACTTTTGAAAGACCATTGTAGAGAGGAGGAATCCAAGATAATGGACGTGTTTGGCACGGAGCTTTTGGAAGCGTTTGGGAGCTTCTAGCTTTTGACAAAATGTTATAGTTTAAACAAAAAGCTTCGTTTGACAGTACAAGTGTTTAACTTTTAGTTTAACGCTCCAAATCTAAAATCTACTTCATGTAGCGTTTAACAAAACACTAGTGAACTTTTGAAATCAATTTCCATAATTACCTTAAAAATATATTTATTTATTTTTAATCAATTGTCATTTAATGTAATTTTATATATTTTAAAAGCTTCCAGCTACTTTTACCAAACACTCATATAACAAATAAAAACTACAGCTTCCCGCTAGCAGTTACCCGCTACCTGCTACTCGCTATCTACTTCCAACTAACAGTTACTTTTGTCAAAGATGCCCAATGTGAGATACACTAACGTATAAGTATATAAATTCCATCTTGCATTAAATATCAACCGAACTATATAATAAAAAAAATATATGGTTTTGATATAAGCTTAATGGAATGTGTAAATTTCATATTTCCTTGAATTAGATTAAGAAAAAAAGGTTTTTCTTGAAACAAACACAGCCACGTGGTTTTTTTAGCACCCATAAATCATAACAGAAACATTCAAATTAAAGAACATGCTGAAAAAAAGGAAACACAACAAAACTTTTGACCACCATGCACGTGGACGACGGCCATTAAAATCCGTTTAACCACTCTCCTGCACCTGCCGTCTATATATAAAACCGTCACCTCCTCTGGTTACTCCACCATGATCAACACCCTTTGATTCCTTTAATTATTTCATAATCTTTTAAAGCACAAAATGTCATCTTCTTGCTGTTCAGGTAACTGCGGCTGTGGTTCCGGTTGCAAATGTGGGACCAGCTGTGGTGGCTGCAAGATGAACGCAGACATCAGAAACGCCGAGACCATCACCACTAGAACCACCATCGCCGGTGTTGCACCCGCCACCAAGAGGTACCAATGTACCTTTCGCTATTTCTTAAATATATATGCCCTCTTATAAAAACTCGTGCTTCTTGATATGACAAATTGACAAGACCCAACTTACATGCATGTAATCATGACATCATGGTATACATGCATATATACATGGTGCTAATGTATTTCTTAATGATTTTGTAAAGTTGTCACGATGGATCAGAGATAGGAGCTGCAGCATCAGAGAATGATGGTTGCAAGTGCGGATCAAACTGCACTTGCAATCCATGCACCTGCAAATGAATGATTCGATAATCGAATCCAAAAGCAATTACTACTTCGAATTCGAACATAGCTCGTGATATCTTCGAATATCAAAGAAGCTTAATGACAATAAAATAGCAGTAGTTTTTATTATTTTAGTTTTATTATTTTGTTTTCGTGTAATAAAAAGGTTTGCTCTGTAAAGATTTTATCGAATCCTATATATAAAATAAGTGTTTTTAGTGTTTAAACTCTTTTGAATATTAAATTTATGTGATTTAGGTCAAGACGGATTTAGGAATTGATGGTAAGTGTTGCCGTTTTTTTTTGTCAAACATAATATAAAATCGAAAAATAATTCATTACGTCTGATACAAAAAAAAAAGATCCATTACATGAAGTTTGAAAGTAGATTGCTATTTAGGGGTGGAGTCTCTAAACGAACGGAAGGTCCAGAGGCAGCGCCCTTGTGAGCGGGGTCCAAGGGGTGGGGCTCCCTAGCTGCGGTCGAGCTGAAATTTGTTAAAAACGAATTAGAAATCTGAATTCATGAAATTTGACCCGAATTTGAACTTTGTCTAGTTTCTAATTAAAACCCGGTTTTGTAACCCTTTATTACTGTTGGAAAACTATCCTACGACAATTTAGGTAGTTTTAGGACATAAAAATTGTTTGTGACATATAATGTACTTAACCGAAATTTGGTTAGAATTTTGGTACTCACAAAAATAACTTCACAATTTTCTATGTTTTAGTTCTCACAATTATGAATTTTATCCGATTAAAGATTGAGAGTACTACCCAAATATTTTAATCTGAAAGTGATAATCACAATTTTTAGATTTCCAAGTGTTGTTTTACCCCACATTTCTAATAGGTAAAAACATAGCAATTTCGAAAAACCTATACAAATTGGTAAAACTTGAATAAACAATACTACTTACTTGCTTCATCTTTAGGCTTGGGCTTGGAGATTACTTGGAGAGTTGGGGTCGAATTGAGCAATGGGAGTCGAAATGTCGAATTGGGCAATGTGATTCGATGTGAAGGAATCAACGATGGAAGCAGCAAGCAGGTAACAACGAAGTCAACATAAGGAATCAGCAAAGTCGACACATGAGGTCACAAGAGGCCCTCATTTTTTCTTTTCTTTTTTGCTTCCGCCGAATGAGTGTCCCAAACTCCCAATTGGATCAATAGATCCAACTATCCAAATGTCATTGGGCTATTTTCCTTATTTTTTGGTGCCAAAATTAACAGGATTAAAATTAAAAGCACTCGACTATTAATTATAAGCTGTGAATATATTTTTGGATTTGATTGATCCACTGCATACAGAAAAGGCAGGTATTGACGATGCTACACCGGGTACTCACTAAAACCTTTAGGTTCACCATTGCATATAGGTAGATACACACTTATGTAAGACAAAGTTCTTCCTTAAGTAACGTTTTATGTTCAAATTCTTTAAGTTTGATTTTTATTGTAAATTATGACAATCATCAAATTATTGAATGCATATTAAAAATTGTGATACCTAATAATCTTTTTGTTATATATTAAAACTTTAAACGGTGACGATGAATATGAAAATGTTTATTTTTTAAGCGTTATATAAATAAACAATAGATCTCTAATTCTTAGATAAAAACATAAGGACAACGTTCATGTATAGACAAGAAAATCATATCCATTTATCTAAAACTCGTATAATAATAATACTTAAAAATAAACTATCAATTATTAATGCATTTCTGATATAGATATCTTATTATTTATAGTTTATAATTGTTATCTAAATGTTAAATAAGATTGACGAGAATAAAATTAATTATTAAAAAAATTAATCCAGTCAATTAAATTATAGGTTGGTATTGTACAAGATGGTTTGAAGTACAATACGACAAAAGAAATATCCCGCGAAACGTGGAGCATAATTTTGGGTGATTAAGACTCCCGTGCGCTGGGTGGCATTTTTGGTATTTCACGTTCCCTCCTAAACACGCCAAAGCTTGTGCTTTATTTATATATATTTTTCTCAATTTGATAAAAAACAATATTATTTTTTCTCAATTTGATAAAAACAATTTTAATCATTCTTATTATTGCGGCTCTCAAAATAAATCAACAAATTATCTGATAAGTTTTTTATTGTTTTATTATTAAGTGGGAAAAATTCATGAAAACACGAATAATTGTATATGTATATACAGAATAATTATTTTTATTTAAAGAAAAACTTTTATATTAATATTTACGTTTCAAATAAAGTCAAATTA